AAAGACTCTAAACAAGGGATGGAGAAAGATTTACCAACCAAACAGAGAGCTAAAATAAATAAATAAAAAACAGAAGTTACAATTAAGCAACAAAGATCAAAAGAAGCAAAGAAGGACATTATATAATGATAAAAGGATCAATGCAACAACAAGAAGAGCTAAAGATCCTAAATATATACGCACCCAATACAGGAATACCTAGACATACAGGACTTATAAAGAGACTTAGACTCCCACATAATAATAGTGGGAGACTTCAACATTAATATTAGACAGATCAATGAGACAGAAAATTAACAACGATATTCAGGTCTTGAACTCAGATCTGGAACAAGTAAATGTAATTAACATTTATAGAACTCTCCACTTTAAATATACAAAATATACACTCTCATCAGTACCACATCATATCAATTTAGAAGTTTAAATGAAATCTTGGTTGGCTCCTTGTTTGTTATTCTCTTCCCTCATTTTCTTTCATGTCTCCATTATTAAAGACAATTATAGGCATACCCATATTTAGACTGCATTCTAGCCTGGGCAATAAAGCAATACCCCCATCCTCTCTCCCTCTTCCTCTTTCTCTTTCTTCCTCTTCTTTATTAAAAAAAAAAAAAAAAATACAAAACATTAGCTGGGCGTGGTGGTGTGTTCCTGTAATCCCAGCTACTCAGGAGGCTGAGGCAGGAGAATTGCCTGAACCCAGGAGGCAGAGGTTGCGGTGAGCCGAGATCGCGCCATTGCACTCCAGCCTGGGTAACAAGAGTGAAACTCCGTCTCAAAAAAAAAGAATTGAAAAAAAAAAAAAAAGCCTGGGTGCAGTGGCTCACGCCATTAATCCCAGCACTTTGGGAGGCCAAGGCGGGCGAATCACTTGAGACCAAGAGTTCGAGGCCAACATGGCAAAACCTCATCTCTACTAAAAAATATTTCAATTTTGGCCAGGCACAGTGGCTCATGCCTGTAATCCTAGCACTTTGGGAGGCCGAGGTGGGTGAATCACCTGAGGTCAGGAGTGGAGGCCAACCTGGCCAACATGGCAAAACCTCGTCTCTACTAAAAAATATGAGAATTTTGGCCAGGCATAGTGGCTCCTGCCTGTAATCCTAGCACTTTGGGAGGCCGAGGTGGGCGAATTACCCGAGGTCAGGAGTTTGAGACCAGGTTGACTAACATGGTGGAACCCCAACTCTGCTAAAACCCCTGAACCCAGGAGGTGGAGGTTGCAGTGAGCTGAGATTGCACCATTGCACTCCAGCCTGGGCAACAAAGCGAGACTCAGTCTCAAAAAAAAAAAAAAAAAAAAAAAAAAGAAAGAAAGAAAATTTGGCTGGGCAGAGTGGCTCATTCTGTAATCTGAGGTCAGGAGTTCGAGACCAGCTTGGCCAACATGGTGAAACCTCGTCTCTACTAAAAATACAAAAATTAGCTGGGCATGGTGGCAGGCGTCTGTAATCCCAGCTACTTAGGAGGCTGAAGCAGGAGAATCACATGAACCCGGGAGGTGGAGGTTACAGTGAGCTGAGATCACGCCATTGCACTCCAGCCTGGGCAACAAGAGCGAAGCTCAGTTTCAAAATAAGTATATACACACACACACACACACACACACACACACACACACACTAGTCAGGTGTGGTGGCACATGCCTATAATCCCAGCTACATGGGAGACTGAGGCAGGAGAACCACTTAAATCTGATAGGTGGAGGCTGCAGTGAGCTGATACTGCTCTGCTGAACTCCAGCCTGGAAGACAGACAGAGAATCAATCTCAAAAAAAAAAAAAAAAAAAAAAAAGAAGAAAAGATTTGGGTGCTATTTCAAAACTATGGGGAAGCATTGTGTGTGTGTGTATAAGCAGTGGCCTTGCCGCCCCACTCCACAGGACAATTGTTGACCTGAAGAGTTTGACTAAGGCAGGTGTCTTTCCCTGGTAACAGAGTGCAGCCATTAAGAACTAGTGTAGACCTTCTTCTTTTTTAATTTTTTGTTTTGAGACAGGGTCTCACTCTGTTGCCCAGGCTGGAATGCAGTGGTGTGATCATGGCTTATTGCAGCCTCAACCTCCCAAGCACAGGTGATCCTCCCACACCCATCTTCCTGAGTAGCTGGAACTACAGGTGTGTGTTACCACACCTGGCTAATTTTTGTATTTTTGGTAGAGACAGGGTTTCTTCATGTTGCCCTCCAGGGCTCAAGCAATCTACACACCTAGGTCTTCCAAAGTGCTGGGATTACAGGTGTGAGCCACTGCACCTGGCATAGTATGGCCTTCTATGATGCCAACAGGTCCCCTGTGCCTCTTGAGCAAAGGAAAGAAAGCAGTTGCTTTGTTAGCTGTTTAGCAAAATAATTGATACTCACTGATTGTTTATTTGGGGAGGAAATACTGCTTCAATGTGGGTTTAGACTACAGCCTTTAAGGAGTAGTCTAGAGAGGCTTACTTTTACAGGTCAGTCAATAGAGCGCTACACCAGCAGCCTGACCTCCAGGCTCACGGGTGGGAATATTGTAAATAGAACAGGAACTGAGGTTCCTTATCCACATCCGGAAGCCAGGTGCCCACGCTCTCAGTTTGTGAGACTGTTGACTTAGAAACTCTGGGTTCAGTGAGACTACGTTATTATTAGAGGCAGAAGAATTCTTGTTTTACAAAAGGAAAGCATCTTAGCTCCTTGAAGAAGCAGCAGACTTTCTCCACTTAGAGATTTGAAGAGGATGCAGAGCAAACCAGCATGCTGGGCCAGATCTCCACTAGAGAAGCTGTTGGGAGCTGGGTGCAGGGGCTTATGCCTGTAATCCCAGCACTTTGGGAGGCCCAGGTGGTCGGATCACTTGAGCTTGGAAGTTCGACACCAGCCTGGCCAACATGGTGAAACCCCATCTCTACTGAAAATACAAAACGTAGCTGGATATGGTGGTGGGTGCCTATAATGCCAGCTACTCAGAAGGCCAAGGCAGGAGAATAGCTTGAACCCAGGAAGCAGAGATTGCAGTGACCCAAGATCATGGCACTGCACTCCAGCTGTCGGGAAAACATCTCAAGCACAAGGTCATGAAAGTTAACGCCACGAGCTGCTGCCCTTGCAACCTGGGAGAGGTGAAATTTAACATGTTTGCTTCTCCTCATAGTTATTCCCCTCTGAAAATATCCTAGCTTTTTGGTAAAGGAATCTGCACTGTCTGGTGTGTGGGCCTTGCAAACCCTGAGGAGGTGGGGTGGCAGGAGATGGGGGCTCTGTTATTTCTGTTCTTTCTGTTCTTTTCCATTTCCTCCTGGTGTCCAGGGAAGATGCCCAGTCACCTTGGGAGGACTGAGACTCTGAGCTCCAGGTAATACTGGTGGGCTAGGGGAGGTCCCCAAATGCTGATGAGACCTTGGCCTTGGCCAGTGTCCAGGTTCTTGTCACCACTGCAAGAAGGAATTCAGGCCGGGCGCGGTGGCTCACGCCTGTAATCCCAGCACTTTGGGAGGCCGAGGCGGGTGGATCACGAGGTCAAGAGATCGAGACCATCCTGGTCAACATGGTGAAACCCCGTCTCTACTAAAAATACAAAAAAAATCAGCTGGGCATAGTGGCGTGTGCCTGTAATCCCAGCTACTCAGGAGGCTGAGGCAGGAGACTTGCCTGAACCCGGGAGGCAGAGGTTGCGGTGAGCCGAGATCGCGCCATTGCACTCCAGCCTGGGCAACAAGAGCGAAACTCCGTCTCCAAAAAAAAAAAAAAAAAAAAAAGAAGGAATTCAAGGATGAGTCAGAAAATAGTGAAAATATGGGTATTGCAGTGAAAGGTACACATTCAAGAAAGGGGAGTGTGGGCCAGCTTGACAGAGACAGTTGCACCATGGGGTTTAGAGTTACCATCTTTATGGGTTTCTTTAACCAAAAGGTGGAATATTCATGAAGATTTCTGGAAAAAGGTAAAGATTTCTCAGAACTATGGTGCCATCCATTTTTGGTGCCACCAAATATGGGTTTTCCTAGAACTGTCACAACGCTGGTGGGTATATGATTTAGTATGTTAATGCGTCTATAATGGGGTCCTAGGTGAAACCTACGTCAAATCCAGTCCTATGTTGGGTCCCAGCAGTCTTAGCCAGCTTGACCCACGTCTTGGTTTTCAGAATCTTACTGGCCCCTAGCTTATGCAACCATTTTAACAGTTTCCTTTTGCTGCTGCCTGGATTTGTTTCCTTCCCTGAGACCACCATGTATTATTCCTGTCTCATTTAACCATCCTCAGAGATTATTATTTTTTATTTTTAAAGGTTTATAAGGGAGGTGGTCAGGGCTTTATATGTACTTTTAGTTGATTAGGGCTATTGACCATGTCTAGTTAGGGCATGGAAATTTCTGGCTGCCTGGTTTAAGCGTTCCAAGGGTGGGTTATTGAAGAGTCTGAATCTGAGGCAGGGATTGGTTGGAATTTTTGTATAACTATTATTTTGACATGGAACTGTTGTAACCCATAACACACAAATTTTATAAGGAGGTTAAACAAGCAAGGATCAAAGAGTAGTAGAAATTAGAGTTATTAAAGGTTCCAGGAAAGGTAGGAACTGTGTCACACTTGGCAGGTATTTTTTGATGGGGTCCCAGATGGTTGAGCAGTGTGCTCATTGAAATTATGTAGCCAGGTAGCATGTTGGTAAATCTTCTGAGCTGGTAGTTTAATTAATCCTGAGTTGTTAATATAAAAACAACAGCTGTGGTTTATTACTGTGCAAACCCCTTTGTTTAGCTAGAAGATAAAGCTTCTTGTGTTTTTGATCATTTGACTGGCTTATGTTTTGACCCTGTTAGGGCCTCATACAATAGCTTGGCAATGAGTCTAAATTCTGTGATCCCAATTCTGCAAAATCCTGCTATACTCAGGAAAGTTCTTAGTTGTTTGTCTGTGGAGGTTTTACTTAGAAGTAAACTTTTGTTTGATGGACAATGTCCAGTTTCCAGGGTTTAAGATGTACATGTATTTCACTTTTGGTTTAGAAATTTGGGCCTGGGAGCTTTTAGGAGTACCCGCCAACTAGTGGGACCGAGCAGGAACCCGCATCCAGGAACAGAGCCCTTTGCTCCTCCCTCAGAATGAATGGAGACCAGAAATCAGATGTTTATGCCCAAGAAAAGCAGGATTTTGTTCAGCACTTCTCCTAGATCGTTAGGGTGCTGACTGAGGATGAGATGGGGCACCCAGAGATAGGAGATGCTATTGCCCGGCTCAAGGAGGTCCTGGAGTACAACGCCATTGGAGGCAAGTATCACCGGGGTGTGACGGTGCTAGTAGCATTCTGGGAGCTGGTGGAGCCAAGGAAACAGGATGCTGATAGTCTCCAGCGGGCCCTGTCTGTGGGCTGGTGTGTGGAACTGCTGCAAGCTTTCTTCCTGGTGACAGATGACATCATGGATTCATCCCTCACCCGCCGGGGACAGCTCTGCTGGTATCAGAAGCCAGGCGTGGGTTTGGATGCCATCGATAATGCTATCCTTCTGGAAGCATGTATCTACCGCCTGCTGAAGCTCTACTGCCGGGAGCAGCCCTATTACCTGAACCTGATCGAGCTCTTCCTGCAGAGTTCCTCTCAGACAGATTGGGCAGACCCTGGACCTCATCACAGCCCCCCAGGGCAATGTGGATCTCGGCAGATTTACTGAAAAGAGGTACAAATCTATTGTCAAGTACAAGACGGCTTTCTACTCCTACCTTCCTATAACTGCAGCCACGTACATGGCAGGAATTGATGGCGAGAAGGAGCATGCCAATGCCAAGAAGATCTTGTTGGAGATGGGAGAGTTCTTTCAGATTTAGGATGATTACCTTGACCTCTTTGGGGACCCCAGTGTGACTGGCAAAGTTGGCACTGACATCCAGGCCAACAAATGCAGCTGGCTGGTGGTCCAGTGTCTGCAACGGTCCACTCCGGAACAACGCCAGATCCTGAAGGAAAATTACGGGCAGAAGGAGGCTGAGAAGGTGGCCCGAGTGAAGGCATTATATGAGGAGCTGCATCTGCCGGCCGTGTTCTTGCAGTATGAGGAAGACAGTTACAACCACATTATGGGTCTCATTGAACAGTACGCAGCGCCCCTTCCCCCAGCTATCTTTCTGGGGCTTGCGCGCAAAATCTACAAGCAGAAAAAGTGACCTAGAGACTGCAAGGGCGGAGAGGAGGCTATCAATAAATAAATTGTATTAAAAAAAAAAAAAAGAAAAGAAAAAGAAATTTGGGCCTGGGATGGAGAAAACTGATTTTTTTTTTTTTAAGCAAGTTTAGAGCTTGAATGGCATTTTTATTGGAGTCCTCTTTAGTGAGGCTGTATACAGAGATGTTATTTACATACTGGAGTATGGCTCTCCTTTTTAGCTCTAGCTTTCTTAATTTTTGTGCCAAGGCATTTTTGAACAAATGAGGGCTATCCCTAAAGTCATGAGGCAGTATCAGCCCAGTGTACAGTGGGTGATAGTAGTTTCAGGATCAGTCTACTTGAAAGAAAATAAATACTGAGCGTTGAGGTGCAAAGAGATACAAAAGAAAGCATTCTTATGATCTAACACTGTGAACTCATTGGTGTTTTCTAGTATTTGGTTAAGTATGATGTAAGGATTTGGCATTATAGGATGTAAGGAATTATGACCTCATTAATGGCTCCTATGTCTGAACTAGACCATCTATCTATCTATCTATCTATCTATCTATCTATCTATCTATCTATATTTTTTTCTGAGATGGAGTCTTGCTCTGTTACCCAGGCTGGAGTGCGTGGTGCGATCTCAGCTCACTGCAATCTCCGCCTCCCAGATTCAAGTGATTCTCCTGCCTCAGCCTCCTGAGTAGCTGGGATTACAGGCATGTGCCACCATATTTTTAAAGCATGGCCTCCTGTCCTTCCTGTCCAAAAACCAAATGAAAAATATGGTCTAGGCTAGGCGCTGTGGCTCACACCAGTAATCCCAGCTCTTTGGGAGGCTAAGGTGGGTGGATCACCTGTGGTCAGGAGTTTGAGACAAGACCGGCCAACATGGCGAAACCCCATCTCTACTAAAAATACAAAAATCCCTTTTGGCCAGAACCATCATCTTCCAGTAATTCCCCAAAAGGACAAACACAAAGGGAAAGAGGAGAAGTAAATGATAGATATTCTCTAGGCCTTTTAGAAAACATAGAGCTGGCCGGGTGCGGTGGCTCAAGCCTGTAATCCCAGCACTTTGGGAGGCCGAGGCGGGTAGATCACGAGGTCAAGAGATCCAGACCATCCTGGTCAACGTGGTGAAACCCCGTCTCTACTAAAAATACAAAAAATTAGCTGGGCATGGTGGCGCGTGCCTGTAATCCCAGCTACTCAGGAGGCTGAGGCAGGAGAATTGCTTGAACCCAGGAGGTGGAAGTTGCGGTGAGCCGAGATCGCGCCATTGCACTCCAGCCTGGGTAACAAGAACGACACTCTGTCTCAAAAAAAAAAAAAAAAAAGAAAACATAGAGCTGTTCCTTAAGTCACATACATGTGAATATATAAGAAAGGTAGTATTGTAGACATGAAGGGGATGGGTAGTTACTGTTCAAAAAGGAATGCCCCACAAGGGTATCCATGGCAAAACTGGAAGAGTCTAGTGGTCCCCAGCATGCTGTTGGCATGCTGTTGACATTGTTGTAAGCAAGTTAAGGGCAATCTTCTTCTTCTTCTTTTTTTTTTTTTAGAGATGGGGTTTCACCATCTTGGCCAGGCTGTCTTGAACTGACCTCATGATCCACCCGCCTTGGCCTCCCAAAGTGCTGGGATTACAGGCATGAGCCACCTCTCCCGGCCAAGGGCAATATTCTTTCCAAGAGAATTAATGTGTGTATTGAGCACATTAAGCACTTTAAGAGCCGAGATCGCTTCCTGAAACGCGTGAAGGAAAATGATCAGAAAAAGAAAGAGGCCAAAGAGAAAGGTACCTGGGTTCAACTGAAGCGCCAGCCTGCTCCTCCCAGAGAAGCACACTTTGTGAGAACCAATGGGAAGGAGCCTGAGCTGCTGGAACCTATTTCCTATGAATTCATGGCATCTTAGGTGAAAAAAAAAAAAAACAAAAAAAACCTCTGGACTGTTAAAAAAATAGTAATTAAAAAAATAAAAAATAATAAAAATACAAAAATTAGCCGGTCATGCTGGCGTCCGCCTGTAATCCCAGCTACTTGGGAGGCTGAGGCAGGAGAATTGCTTGAACCCGGGAGAGGGAGGTTGCAGTGAGCTGAGATCGTGCATCGCGCCACAGCACTCCAACCTGGGCGGCAGAGCAAGATTTCGTCTAAAAAAAAAAAAAAAAAAAAAAAAAAAAATTCTGGCGATTAGCCACTAAATCTGGTCTCAATCTGCAGTTTGAAACACCCTGCCTTGGGAGGTGCGGCAGGGAGGTGCGGGGGGGAAAACTGCATTAAAAACAAAATTTAAATGTCTTTGTTCGGCGACCCCCCTCTAGGGTTCAGATGACCGGCCTCGCTGACTCCGCAGTGACTCCGGGATCAATCCGGACGGTCACTGGGAGAAGCCGAGGGCAGCTTAGCCGCGGTCAGTTCCATTTCCCCCCAGGACGCGAGAGTCGCCATGGGAACCTGCAGCCGGGCTAAGGCCTGTCCCGGGGCTTCCCGGTGTCTAAAGAATCTCGCAGCACCCCCGCCCAGAGTTCAGACCAAGCGAAAAGTTATTTGAGAGGCCGCGGGGGCGCGGGTGGGGAGTCGGTGGCGGAGGCCTGGGTCGGGGCGCAGTGGTGTCTCGGAATCTCCGCGTCGCTCTCTTGCCGCCCCCGCGTCGCTGGGAGGAGTGAGGGCCGCGAGGGAGTGAGCGGGAAGGGCCTGGCTGGCCTTTACTCGGCCCTCCCCGTCGCCCGGCCTTTGAACCCGCCCTGCGCTGCTGCCCGGGCGGGTCCAGGCACTTCGCACTCGGGACCCAAAACTGCAGCCGCGCTAGCACAACCCATGGCTGCGCTGGGCTGCGCGAGGCTGAGGTGGGCGCTGCGGGGGGCCGGCCGTGGCCTCTGCCCCCTTGGGGCCAGAGCCAAGGCCGCGATCCCTGCAGCCCTCCCGGTGGATAAGGCCGCTGAAGCTCCCGGAACCGGACCTGGTGACCGGCGGCGGCTACGGAGCTTAGATGAGATTCCACGTCTAGGGCAGCTGCGCTTCCTCTTCCAGCTGTTTGCTCAAGGTTACGCCTTGAAGCTGCACAAGTTACAGGTAACCCGCGGGGGCATCGCGTCCTGGGGATGGGGGTGGGCACCGGAACAGAGAAGCTGGAGGTGAGGAGACGTTGCACAAAAAGTGAAGACTGCAGGAACTCAGCTCGGGACCCACTGAGGCTATGGTCATGAACTGGAAATCTATAGGGAGAATGTGCAAAGTGCAGACAGAGCCCTTGGGGCTGAGATAAACAGGACGATGAGGGGCGTGAATCAGGAGGGCACCAGCTAAGAGGGGATCTGGATGCTGGGCTTGAAGTGAGCAGAGGTTGAGGGAGCTGTCTTGGGAAGGATGTGGCAGAGGCAAGTGTGTAAGCTGATAGATGTTACAGAATCACTGGTTCTATAGTGATGTTGGCTACCACAGACTTCTTCTAAAGGAAATAACTTCAGGAGGATTACAGAAGCCTCTCGGTTATTTGCAAGGTAAATTTGCCTTTCCTGGAAAACACAATGCTGCTTCTCTGGGCTTGGAAGCAAAACCACAGAAAGTGAGGAAAAGGTACTTTTTGTTATTAAGAAATCAGTCTGAGGCTGGGCGTAGTGGCTCACACCTGCAATCCCAGCACCTGGGATCACTGAATCAGTGGCTGCTGTCTATACTGCAACCTTCCCTGTTGGTCTCATGTTTGTGAGACTTGAGGATGTGAAAATAAAATAATTCAAAATCTAAGCTGTTGAAACTTCAAAATATTTTGAGCCTAAAGGGAATGTGATTATGTAATTACGGGACTCAAGTCACATAAGCAGGCTTCCGTAACCTAAGCAGCTGTAACCTTTGTTTCTCTGATTATAGATTGGTTTTCTTCCTTATCTCTGTTGTTTTGTAAAATGTTATAAACGTCTGCAGTGGGCCAAGGAAGAGTCCTTCCCTCTTCACTATGGAACTTCGTTATAGATTAACTTCCTATTACCTTTCTCATGCAAAGACTTCATGCCTATCACATTGCTTTAAGATGAAAAGTTGACTATACTATTTTAAATTGGAAAGGAAATGAAAATGAGACACATGGCAAAGAAAACAAATGATAACTAATTGAATCGTAACTCATAAACCAGCCTTGGAAAGAAAATGTTATGCTTCCTTCCCTCCCTCCCTTCCTCCCTCGCTCCCTCCTTAAAAAAGGAAAAGAAAGAAAATGTTATAATCCTATGAAACTTTGTTTCCTGCCTGTATAAGCAAGGACTTAACTTTTAACTTTGGAGCACTGACCCCATTTTTTCTGGAGTGTGTGTTTCCCAAATGGCTATTCCCAGCTTTTCACTTGAATAACATGTTTAAAACTGGATTTTGATTCTTTTGATTATTTCAGGATAACAGGGGGCAGGTCACAAAATACTGAGAGATGGGTTTTGGAATCACTTCCTGTGGACCCAGATCCTTTAAGCCAGTGGTCCCCAACCTTTTTGGCACCAGTTTTGTGGAAGACAATTTTTCCACGGAGTGGGGTGATGGGGATGGTTTTGGGATGATTCAAGTGCATTACATTCATTGTGCACTTTATTTCTATTATTGTTACATTGTAACATATAATGAAATAACTATACAACTCACCGTAATGTGGAATCAGTGGGAGCCCTGAGCTTATTTTCGTGCAACCAGACTGTCCCATCTGGGGGTGATGGGAGACAGTTACAGATCAGGCATTAGATTTTCATAAGGAGTGCACAGCCTATATCCTTCACATGCACAGTTCAAAATAGGGTTTGTGCTGCTATGAGAATCTAATACTAGCACTGATCTGACAGGAGGCAGAGCTCACGTGGTAATGTGAGCGATGGGGAACAGCTGTAAACACAGATGAAGCTTTGCTTGCCACTTACCTTCTGATGTGAGGCCTGGTTCCTAACAGGTCACAGACTAGTACTGGTCTGTGGTCTGGGGGTTGGGGACCCCTGCTTTAAGCCAAGAAAACAGACTCCTGTTAACT